CCGAAACAGGAGCTGGCCATATGTCGCCTCACCTTTGCCTTTGAGATCATCAACATGCTCCTGTGACAGACCAAACCGCTTGCAACGCTCACTGAAGGTGACCTCTGAGTCCGAAATGCCAGCCATGGTCCTCCCAGAGGGGAGGGCCAGCCATTCATGCTAAGTAACGCCACTGACTTGACCGCACACCACTCAATCAGTCCTTTGTATGACTTGTTCACAAGCCTGAGTGATTGTGCCCGCACGCAGCCACAGGCTGGACTAGTGCCAGCCTGAGGCAAGATATCGCCGTTAAGGCCTGACAAGAGGCTAACCCACCAGGGCATGTCATCCTCATGATGCTGATACCTTGCCTGCGGTGCCTCAAGGCCAGACCGATCGCCCTCCCACAAGGACGAGAGCTGATGACCTGCCACGCACAGGTTGGTAAGCTTGGACTGCTGACTGCCTCCAGGCCTGTCAGCGGCATCACAAGCTGCTCCCCCCTGCCACAAGGCAGGCATTTGTCAAGCCACAAGGCCGACAACCACAACACAGCTGGCCTCCAACGGCGCAGCTGCCTGCCCATTTTTAATATCATGATGGTGGACGCTAAGCTCAATGCCCCGCCTGATGGCACAGACCGACAAGGCCCATCCCTTTGAGCACAAAAACCTGCCAGCGCCAAAAGAAATTCAGAGTTACAGCAAATGCACAATGTCGACAGCTTGCAGAGCTCAATCAAAATTCAACACCATCTTTTGTCTGGCGGCACGAACCTGTAATCCTGGGCAACGCTCTGGTATGGGAGCACTTACAGCTCGTACCCGCGAGCCGACTGCAAAAGAGGCGCCTGGAATTCCTGACAGATGATACGCTGAGTTGGGGGCCCACAATCTCCGGCGCCTAACTGTTCCTGAACCATCCTGTACTCCTGAGCACACGCCACCCTAGCGATGGCAAACCTGACAGAAATGGTGGTCATGGAGCTGCCTGGCATCTGTACTTACAGGCCGGGAACAGGCCCAGCCACAGTGGGCCTGGCAGGAAAGCAAGCAGTACCCGTGTATGCTAAAATTTCTACGGCGTAAGGCCGAGGGCAAACAACGCTCGCGGCGGGGCCTAAGTGGGTACAATCCATCTAGGTTATGTACAGGCGGAAGCCCTGCATCGTACCCCACCTTAGAGTACAGTGCGAAAGGAGCACCGTGGAACCAGTCCAGGAATTGGAATGCCCCTTCTTCTAGTGCATCCAAACCTGGAGGCAAGAGATGCCTGACGTCACCTGTCCTGGGCTCGGTTCTGCGAGAAGTCGTCGGCTCTCGAGGTGCTTGTGCAGGAGGGTATCCAAGAGTACCTGGCTGCAAGTCACGCGATCGCAATGACTCTCTCCTCTGCCCGTCTGGGCCCAGAACACGCGGGACGCTCTGTGCAGAGGATGCCGGCGCCTGTCCCAAAAGCCCAGGGTGCCATCCCTCCCATGGATTGGGAGGGCCATTGTTGCTGTTGCCCTGAACATCCTGGCCGACCGTGCCCTCCTGCTCTCCCTGGCTGACGGTTGAATTCTGAGGATCGCCTGAAACACCTGAAGTACTGACTGTAGACTGTGGAACACCAAAGCTTGTAGGACCATCATCACTCAAGCGCAGGCTGCTGATTTCTCGCAGGCTCGGAAAGGGAGTAAGGCCGGCATCCACTATTCCAGAACTGCTGGGTTGATTTTGAAAGTCCTTGCCAAGCTGCACGAGGAGCTCAAGGCGCTCCACTTCCTCTGGCCTAAGCCTTGCAACAGCCTGAATGCATGCGTCAGGATCCTCCAGGAAGAGGTTGCGCAGCTGGCTCTGCAGTCTGAAGGCCTCGCTATCCCACGCCATGCCTACAAGCCTCCACAACTAAATTTCAGGTCCTTGACCCAAAATGGCACGTGTGACTAATGATTTAAGTGCTCTTGATGCAAAGAAGCAATTGTATAGCGTTTGCGGCCGGTCTGAAGTTCGTCCAACGTGTCGCGCGGAGTCTTCCTATCCATGGACTTAATGTCCAGCAACGTCCCGTGCTCCGATTTTCTCTGTGAATAGCCCTGATCGCGGTAAAAAAAGCCGAGTCTCTTTCTGCTATCCACCTTCGCAAGGTCCTCACCTTTCAGGATGCAAACACGGGCCAATTGCTCGGATGGTCGCCGGATCCGAACACTGATGGACAAATGAGACTGCTCTGGTTATCGAAGTGTCTTGGCTTGTTGGAGCGCTTCCTTGGCTTCTGCAAGCTGTGCATCTCGGAACTTGAAAAAGACCGGGTCTCTGTTCACCGGCTTCATTTCAGAATCTTGAGCCGGAAGGTGCTTCGGCGCTTCGTGTGAGCCTCATGATTGTGGCTTGCAGCTTAGCCAGCAAGGAGGACTTGTTCTGTCTTCAACGATCCTCAGTTGCGAGTCCCACCGATTACAGAGTGCACGGTGCCTGCGCAGCGTCTGCAAACTTGACAGATGCCGAAAGGCTCGGAGGGTAGTCAACCTGCCACACTCACCACAAGTGAGCATACTTTGTGGAGCAATCCTGACACTCGCGTGGCTCTACGCCATCCATTACATGATCTGTAGTCTAAACTCCTAGTATCCACCTTAATAACCCCTATAGTAGTCCCCTATATAATCCCCTATAATAAGCCCCCTTTAAGGAGTTTAGACTATGACTCACATGAGTGAAACGGGCACCTTTGTCAGTGGTGCGGTGATGTCCAGAATCTCAAGCCGCACCTTGCAGGATGCATCAACGGGCACGTTTGCCTGAGCATTCCTTTTGCAGGAGTATAGTCCCCCTTAAGTAGATAAAGTATGGGGTATATGGGGATCTTGTTATAATATACCCAAAGCCATATTCTATCTACTAAAGGGGGACTATACATTATATCATTTATGCATCTGCAGAGAAGCATGGGAAAGGGCGTTCAATGTCTTGTCGATGCTGTCCAAGACCTGACAGCCACCAGTGCTTTCTCGCTGCTTTGCACTAGCCTTGTTATGCCTTGATTCTTTGATGCTGTTCATTGAGCCAAGAGTTCCAGGGGCAGAGCCGCCAGTCTCTGTGACCCCCATTCAGGAGCTTCGTCGAACTCCGCAGCAAAGGACCTAAAGCCAAGAGGTAGTTGCCCAGAGACCCCCCGAAACGGGTCCAAAGCAAGGCCCGGGCATACTCTTGTTGCCAAGGTGCAAGCGGAATGACACCTTTCAGAAATATTCCGTGGTAAGTGCAGATGTACAAGGAATGAGGCTAGCAGCAAGGAGGAACACGTCTTAGCACCCGCAAGATCACCGGGAACTTATTTAGACTGGCCTGGCCCCCGAGGGCTTGGAGGAAGACACCGGCCGACCAGCGAGATTCCCGCACCTGCTAAACCAATGAACTAGCTTTTCGGTTCCCCCTATTATGAAAACACCTTCGGCCCCCTCTCTTTAAATACTCCTCATGATGGCACTGCATGAGGCGGACTTCCCACCCAGTATTAGTGACTAGAAGAGATATTGGTGATCAAATCAGGGTCCTCTTATTCCTACTGTACCACGACTACAAGGCGGGGGGTCCATCTAAGCAATGCTTATATACTGGGGGAGTCCCTAGTTGGGATTCTGTATACCCTGAACCCTAAATCCCAAATACCCTAATCCCTCAACCCTAAACACTAAACCCCTAAACCCCAAACCCTGATCCCTACACCATAAAGCTGGCGTTTACAGGGTTTAGGGTCTAAACTCCTGGCATCGCCCTGAATAAGCCGTATCATAGTCCCCTATATAATCCCCTACATAACACCCATTAAGAAGTTTAGACTATAGCTTCTATATTGGGACATTAAAGGGGATATGGAAAAGAGACATGGAAACGGCCATAGTATGCCATAGCATCTTACAGGTTGGAATATTATTTGGGAATATTACAAGCATATAGTGGGATATTACTTGCGAATGGTACAGGTACATATTGGTATATTATTTGGGAATGTTACAGGCATATATTGGGATATGTTTTGGAAACATCCGCCGACCTTGGGGGGCGTGTTGGATGGTTGCCGAAGGGG